CACCGTAATTTTTTTAATTCCCATTCAACTTTTTTCACACTTACAAATTCCGCTTCCATTCGTTTCGCATTGACACTCATGCTGAATGTGGTCAGAATAAGGTTGTCAGCATGTAGTACTATCAGTTTGGTCGTGTTCAGTGCCTTGAATATGCAAACATACATTACAGAACGCTTTCAGATAGAGTGGCAAATGTCATGTCAGCGCTGTGCAAAGCTAAAATGGAGTTCAATCAATAACCTGGATATCGATCGCTAAACTTCCTGTCATGTTGTTCGTCGTGATGTTCGGATGGATGGTCAGATTGTAAGAGGTCGGCACAACGTCTCGGGGTAACCTGAAATATTTGAGTACTAGAACTACACTGATCATCGCTGTTCCTGATTTCAAGTTTTCGATTGACGCAGCTTAAAGACACATAGTACGCTCACACACATTGAGGGTGTATGAGACTATCAGCCCCCCAGCTGTCGATGTGTCGTGGTCCCCCGCCCAAACATGCCCAGGAATGGAGATACAGGACCGTGAAACACGCTAATTCCTCCATGCTCCGCCTTACACCTTTTCGGCGGCATTCCAGTCCATCATACAGTCCGTTGCAAGCGCGCGTAATCGCGTGCGACTCCTGGCACTTTGCAGTCCTTTAAATTGTTCGCTGTCTCAAATACGTAAGGTTAAACGCAATTCCGATGCGGATAACAATTGGAAGTGCATGGTCAAAATAAGAACAAGAAGATATTGATCTGAGGGTCAGAACTTAAAAGCAACTGTGCCACTTCTGCAACATCCCTCGGAGGCCGCGTATTTCCACGAAACATGAAAATAAAAACGGCATACTCGTTTTGATACAAGCAAAACGCAATTTCCTGATGCGAATAAAATTTAGGTGTTGCTCATACTTCAAAATCCATGTACAAGGAGATGAAGATGACACAGGCTAGAAATTGAAGTCACAACGGATGTAAATGGTAAATTTTTAAAAAGCGGAATAATGAAAAAAACTTGCAAGGAAAGGCAAATTAGTTGGAAATCAGCCCGCTGTAAATTTCTAGCAATCGCGCGTCGAAATGCCAGGCGCCCCAAAATGCCAAGAAATACTTAGTATATATAGAACGAATGGGGGACGCTTGATTGTTTTTATTCTCATGTTTTCTGGGAATGCGCGGCCTCTGATGGATTCTGCGGATGCAGCCGAGTTGCTCTTGAGTTCTGGCCCTTGTCATCATCTTCTGTTCTTATTTTGTAGCACCTCCAATGTTATCCGCATCAGGAAATTGCGTTTTACTCGTATTTGAGAGCGCAATTAAAGGACTTGGCAAAGTGCCAAAGGAGCCGCACGCGAAGTAGCGCAGCAGCCGCAACGGATGTTATGAGGGAGGGGAATCGCAAAAGGGTGTAAGGCGAGCAATAGAGAAACTAGCGTGTTTTTCAACGGTTGTGTATCTCCATTTCTAGTGCATGTTCGGGCCGGAGGACCTTACGACACAGTCGACAAGCTGTGGGGGGCTGATAGTCTCATAGCATCCTCAGTGTGTTTGAACGTACCATTGTTGTTCTGCTAATGTGGTTGGCGGGTTCAGTCTCGATCAGACTCCGTGATCCACCGATGCTAGCACCACGCCCATGGCACAACCAATCGCTACCGTACCTGAAATGTTTCCATGGGAAATCTCGGCAATCATCATCAGCGTCGTCCTCGGTAGTGTCGTCCGAGTACGCAGCATCTGTCGTCAACTCCACTTCAATTTCCTCTTTACTGGATTCGGAAGAAGATGAACTGCCAATAGCTTTTGTGTGATTGTTGACTATTGTCGTCTCCGTACTGTCATTCTGTGAAAAGTTCCCCAGAGCCTGAAATAACTTATCAATTTCACGATAGTATCTCTGTATGGAGAAAAATTTGGAAGCATTCGGCAGTTTGCAGTTGCAACCACCAGCGTCTACAGCATGCCACAGCCTTTTGCGTGGAATAGCTTTAACGGAGCCCAAATTCCGCAATCATCCTCCTTCGTGTGTAAGTGGGTAACCCCTCTGATATTCAACTGTGGGCCACTCGGATCGCCCGGCTGCGAGCGTTTCACCTAGAACAGTTTTCTTTTCAAAAACCCATCTCTACCGTTCCATTCACCGTATATATCCACCTGTCAATTCATAGTACGATAAGGATATGTCGTCCTCATTTCATGAGCCAACTCCAAAACGAGTTACGAATTTTTGAAATAAGTGGCTCTTGGTTAAGCGCACACTCCGCCAACAATGGGGAGGCTCAGCCCAATGTATTTGTGTTTCGCACATCTTGGTCCATGCCCTACCCGGCCCTCAAACCGGCTCTTCAGGCGATTCCGAATTTCCGAACCGGCATACCGACACAGAGACGGACGTAGCTGTTCATGCAAAGCAGGATCCTCCTCCAAGCCGCAGTCCACGTTGATGGGCGGAGTCGGGTCCACCACGCCTTCCTCATTGG